AGCTCCGTTGCAGTTTTCCTTCATTTCGTCAAATAGTGAATGTTCTTTCCTATTTCTTAATACTTTATGTTTATTATGAGCAAAACTTACAACAGTTCCACATTTGTTATTATCCGGTAAATCAAGTTCGCCATTTATATAACGAACTGCCATTCCAAGATCGGCGAGTACACATGTCAGATCCGATTTTACCAGAACGTTCTTCGATTTCAGATCGCGATGTGCAATTCCAGGCTTGCCTAAAACAAAAAGTCCATCATCCCCAAAAAATACGGCAAATTTATTAACTGAAAGCATGTACAAGGTTTTCTGAGTGAAACGAGTGGGAAGAGACAAAGAATGGAAAAGGGTGAGGAGGAGATGAGCGGAGTAAGCCCAGCAAAATGTGAGAATTCTCACCCTCCTCTTAGAAGATCACCAAAGTACATGCAAACAGGAAAATTCGCCGCCTTCGCCAAAATTCGCCACATCTTTTTGCCAAAAAAGAGGATTTTCTACTTCGACAAACATCCCCTCCTCTATTCCTTTCACCCTCACCTCTGCTCCCCTATCCTTCCCAATACTTGTCTGTCCCCTCATATCTTTTCCACTCTTTCTTCTATATACACTTTGTATAAAAAGATGATTAAGGGAAAAGCACATACCACGTGGACCTGGAATTTCATTGTGCAGAAAAGATAAGCCACTTGCAATATTGTGAATCATCCGCAACATGACTGGCACATCAACAACATACGCCGTCAGATAATCGTAGAGAGAGCCATGCTCGTGATACTCAGTGATCAGCCAGAGCTGCGTGCTAGTCCCGGTATCTGCAACATCCAGGATAAAAGGGTTTAGAACAATTACCGAAAGGGGATGGGCGCGAAAATGGGAGGTTACGGACCGAAGATGCTCCTTTTCAGGGCAAAATTTCTTATAAAATTCGAAAATCTTTTTCCGAACTGAAACAAATCTTTTTTCCGAACTGAAACAAATCTTTTTTCCAAATTACTAAAATTTGAAAGTGGGCCTGGTAACCGGTATACATTCAAAACAACAGATACAGCAGAAATCAAAAGAAGGCGGGAGGTGGAAGGGAAAGGGAAATTAGTCATAGGCTCAATTCCTAAACGCAACTTTTTTTTGAGAAAACTAAAAAATTTTTTTGAGAAAACTAAAAAAAAAGATGAAATTCAGGCTGTACAGAGAGCTATATAAATCTTCATTCCTAGACAGGGATTTTCATTCTTAGATAGGCCTCAAATACCCCGGTGGCTTTCTTGAATAAACCCTGGAAAACCCTTTTCCCTACGTGATCAACATATCCGTGAAGCGTATGAGAGCTGCAAAGAGGGAAGCTCAAAGAGTGCACAAAAAGGCAGTAAAAATATGAGAGATCAAATGCCCTTTTCTACAAAAACGAAGAGTATTAGCGCCATCGAAAGCTGTTCATTAAATCATGCAGTTTCGGCCAAAAAAAAACTTCGGAAAGGGTACCGTTTTCATCGACGATACGGAAATGTGCCATAAGAAAGGCAACAACTGAATGCAGAATGCAAATATGCACCTTTGTTATCAGAAGCAATGAAACGCAGTAGATTCTGGTGGCGGAGGAGGCTCGTTTGAAAAATTTCAACTTCTCGATTCCAAGACCTCTCGTTACGTGAGCTGAATATTTTTACCGCCACTTCGTCGCCTTTCCAATGTCCCAGCCAGACCTGGAGAGGATGCAATGCCTAGCTGATATGTTTAATTTAGCAAATTTTACAAATACATGTCAATTTTTCAAAAAAAAAGAGAAAATAAATAAAAGCGGAAATTACTTCTCCAAAGCGGCCTCTTCCAATTTCTTTTTGGAGCACAATTTGTCGTGCAATTGTACGCTGTGCAAGTAGCGGAAGCCCTGAAATTTTCAAATTTATATTAAAAACATCAAGTAAAATGCTTTTATAACAGTGAATAATCAACGAATTCGTGAGCAGCAACAATTAAACAAATATTTAAATAAGTAATATTTCTGAAAAATTGGGAGAAATTACTGATACAATTAGCCCCAGGATGGTGAGGTGCTTCAGTTCGAACAAGAGGCAACGCTAAGGATGAGATAGTGATGCTTGATGCAAAGCAAAGACATATCGAAACTTCTAAAGCTTTGCAAGGCTGGTATCAGTTGGTAACTCCTTCATGCGATAAAAAGAACATCTCAAAGCTAGAATGCATGACTTTTAAGCGGTGAAAAAATAGTAGTTGCAACTGAAAAAGCTGCTAGGCTTCATAGACGGGAAGCCGAATATGGTTGATCTACGTGTCCAAATGTGATCAGTAAACACCTGACAGGCAAAAAAAAAAAAAAAACTGCGGGGCAAATTCTGATGAATTAGACTAGAGAAGCTCCAGTAATTAAAACAAGGAGAACCCCGCAACTAAATACGCCGAAAAAAGAGCAGCAACGAAGTGGTTGCATGATTTTTTAAAAGTCATTATCGAAAATTCAAAAAAAAAAATCACGGAACGAAATCATAAACTGTGGTACCTGATCCTGAGCCCGTGGTAGCCGTATCATCAAGACTGCAAAGTAAATCGCTTAAATGACCAAATGCATCCGCAGTGTTCGGCAGCAGTCTTTCTTTTCCAGCACTGAAAGAGTTGTTTTTCATTTATGCATAGGGGAAACAAGTAATACCAAGGATGAAAAAAATCCGGCTCTTTTAGAGGCTCAGGTCAAGTCATAATTAATTTCTTCACAACTCTGATTTTCAATTTTTCGTATAAAATTATAGATTATCCTTTCTCATCCTCCCTTCATTACTCCATCCCCCTTTCCCTTCCTCTCCCCTCTAACTGAGCAATGCGTGAAAGAACTGTCTTTTCCCCAGCACTGGCCACAACTTGCATACAAATAGCTGTGTGTTCAGGCAACCGATGCAGGCATGGATTTTTGTGGGTTGTATATGACCTGGAGAAGAGGCAAAGAAAATTTCATCTTCCTAGCTTGCCTGGTCCCTCATCTGACATAGTGTGAGCTAATTTCCAGTTTCAACTTGCGTTTTTGGGACACATACGTTCTCACAAAAGCAGTTTTACAGGACTGAGAATCAGTGCACAGCTGGGAATCATTCCCAAAAAGAACAACAGCTTCTTTGCTTTTATAATTTTGCAATTTCAAATTTCATGTGTCCATACATAAAAATTGATTTTAAATTTGAACACACACCGTTAAAGAACAACTTCGTGAAAATTCAGCACTGTTTCTTGTCTGGCTATAGAACTTGAGAGATATACCGGCACATGTGAAACAAACACACACACACACGCACATACATACGCACACAGGCACACACACACACAAACATGCATACACACACATACATACACATACACGTACACACACATGCATACATACACACACAGGCGCGGTTTTCTGTGCAACAGTGATGTAAAAAGTTATGAAAAGTCTCGTTCATCACGAATATTCAAAAGAATCCGTTGATAAATTTTGCCACTGGCCTAAAGTGATATGGCTTAAATTTTAAACAGCGAGACAGTTAAAATCGCTTACATATGTGAGCGTTCTTCGTCGTTTGAACGATGATGGAGCCAGTAAAATAGCCATTTTTTCAGCGGTTTGTTAAGCCAAGCAACAGCTGCCATTATGCAGAAAATTAAAAGCAAAGCACCAACGATAAAAGCCACGATGATTTTGAAATACTGTACGCCCTCCTGAAATATGTGTAAAAACAGTTGAATTCCTGCAGTGCCAAGATGTTGGAGAAGCAAAAAAAGAAATTTTTAATAAATAGATTCTCTTACTGGGGATTAACAATGCTGATAATTTTGATGAAAACACCGACGGCAAAAACGATGCGCTCATTCGATGTCGGTGATGCTCTCAAACCTCAACTGCAGCTATGCCAGGTTCTTAGATCTTAAGGGGTCTGCCCCCCGCTCAGTATATCTGCGAAAGTAAATGTCCGTTTGTCACTAAATGACCGTTCCTCCCGGTACTTTTCACTAATGCGCGACGTACAGTGGTTGTTAGCAAGGCGAGCGATATGCCTTTCGTTCCGATGGGTACAGAGCAAAAAATACTGAACGTCGAAAGAAAAATCTAAAAGTGAAAGGAAATAATAAAGGAATAAACGGCCAGCGCACCGACTGTCGATGCGAAAATGCGTTTTTTGCATAGTTCTCCGCAGATTTTTGTCGCTAACGGCACTGTTCTTTTCGGAAGATGCTTATAGCTAAAAGAATTGAGACTGGCCGCCAAGACTGTCAGGAAACATTCCTTTAAAATTACAGTCTTCTAGCTTTTCAGGTCCCCGAGTTAGCAACTTACCCGAAAAAAATTTCACGGGCCGGTATGTGGGAGCCACGCATACCCGGGGGTTGGGTTTAAGCTCGTTAACACCTACGTAGACGGGCAATATTCCTTTAAAATTAAAGACTTTTAATTTTTCACTTCCCTGAGTTAGTAGCTTGCCCATCAAAAAATTTGGCGGGCCCATACGTGGGTGCCGCGCGGGTAACAGCGCTCATTTTGGAGATGCGGCCCCGTACATGCATGTAGATTAAATTCCCAAAGTTTCAACTCTGCAGCTTTTGTAGGTGTCGAGATGAAAAATCGGTACAGACGCACAAACAGACACACACACACACAGACAGCCCCTCGTCAATATGCGTTTTCTGCATTGCACAGATGCAAAAGGCACGTAAAAATGAAAGAAAGTGAAAGAAAGAATAACCTGCGAATCGGTTGGTAAGCTTAGTTCGAGTGCGCCATTGCAAAATGATTGATTCCGGCAACACTGCATCACACTGCCATCGTTCATCGGTTGCTTGATATGGCATTGCAAATCGGCACTTGTGTCGCGATTCAGGCAGCTGAAAATTGAGCGAAAACAAAATTAAGTAGAAATGCGAAAAACTCCAGGGGCAAGGAAAGAGTGCCAACCTGAGGAACACTGAATGATCCCGTAAAAGACGTTTGTAGCAAATT